TGGGGGGGGAAGGACACAGAAAGTTCCAGAAAGAGGGGGGGGGAGGGAAAGAAGGAAAAGAAGCTAGAAAGGTGAGCCGGGAGGCCGCAAGTATTGCACCATGGGATGGATTTAAGCTTTATCTCAGTGGTACTGGGAGCCACTGAAGGTTCTTATGCAAGGTAAATCTGCAGTTTGGAAAAACCAGTGAAGAGGTGATGGCAGACTTCATGCATCTTCGGGCTCTGGGGCTCTGACACCGGTGCTCTAGGCCATAGGATGGGTATGGGGCGTGGGGGGGGACTGTGCCCTGTCCCAACAGCAAAACCTGTAAAAATGGGAAGATTGTTGAGCTAGGAACTGTTGGACACAAGTGAGTTGAATAGAAACTCATCTGAGAATATGAAAATGATCACTTGTGATGTATTTTTCTTCAGTTATTGGTTGCTCAATCACTGATTTCTGCCTTCTGCCAATGCAGACCCTGTGCTGCTAGACCTTCTGATTTTCTAAGAAAAGTCTGAAATCTGGACATTTTATACATAATCTGATTTTAAAACTATTTTATTTAGGGAACCAACAGTTAGCGTAATGGCTATGTCACTGGACTCCCACATAGTCGACCACGGTTCGCGTCCCGGACCTGGTGGCTTTAAACTCATGCCGGGCACGTGTCCGTGCGTGTCCAAGATCCCGAGAGGAGAATGGAGGAGAAGGATTGCGGCGTGACCATCCCCCCTGGGGGGTGATTTCTTGCTTTCTGTCTCTATGTCTCTCTCTGTCTGTCTGGCGAGTGCATGCACCCTATAGCGAAAACCTCTCAAAAAAAAATTATTTTATTTAAACACACATGCTCAGTCCAGATGGACTGAATGAAATGCTCCATGGGTCCATTGGTCCCTGTTTACTACCTGTGGCTCTCAAAGTGTGCAACCCGGCCTGATCTACGGAGAGCGGCCAGGCTGACAAAAAAGGAGCTGGTTCTGGGACCAGCATAGAGCGGCAAGGAATCTGCTCCCCAGTGTGAGGGGCAGAAGCGGGGAAGGTGGGATGTCACCCCAGACTCTGGCCACGTCCTTGAGTGAGCATGAGCACCAATCACAGAGAAGGAGCACAGGAGGAAGGGCAGGCTGCTGGCGAGGGTGCGAGAAGGGAGGCAGGGTGCCAGGGCCACACAGAGATTTCTTTTGCACACGCTGAACTAGAGATGTCGGTCACTTCCCAGGGACAGCGTGTAGAAGAAATCCACAGAGACTTAGACAGGAAATAGTTATGCTGGAACATGAGACGTGGCATCACGTGTTTAGAATTGGTGTGAGAAAAGCCAGGTCGCCATGGAGAATGTGCAGGTTCACGCATTGGTTCAGCTTGGCATTCTGGAGTTCCTGCTAAGCTCCAGGACTGGCTGCGAGGGGTTTGGTAGCAACCAAGAAAGACAAGGAGCTGTTCTTTATGAGCTTGTATCTTAATGGGGTGTCCACATCGGAGAGACAATGGCATGGTTGTGGGGGTACCACAGACAGACAAGAGCCCAGAGCTCGGGAAGGACCCTGAGGAAAATCCCAGCTCAGCATCGGTGCGAACGTGGTCTGCTGCAGAATTCAGTACTCCGTTGCAGATAACAACGTCATCCCCTGGCTTTCTCTGTCCAGGCCATCGCTCTTTGACATAGCGACAGATGACCGCCACCTGTCCATAAGGCTCTCTTACTAGCTGGAATGCCCTAGATCATTGGGGAAGCTTTTACATCTGCTCCCATAGGAGCAAGCACGGCACCCAGGCCTCCACCGACACAGCTCCTGGTGTCCCGGACAAAACTGTAAATTCCACAAGGGCAAACACTGTGTTTAATTCTTGGCTTACAGTTCCGTGAGCTTAGCTACTTATGATTTGACTCACCTAGACAAATCTTCCAGTCCAATATCTCAGGGATTTTAGACAAGGCCTTCTCTAACAATTCTAGCGGAGGAGAATTCCATGTTTCTAAACACTTTCCAGTGGTCCTCAGATGAAAACCAAGTGAACATGTCAACAGCAGAGATGTTTGCTCTCCCTGCCATGCTCACGCTAAAGACTTCTTTCGCCTTAGTCTAAACTCCTTAAGTCGTATCTTAACCCTCTGTTTTATTTGCTTATCACCGATAGAATAAAAGATGGACAGCTCAGTAACAATTCTTCACATCTCAAATAAAGTTCCTTCACTTTCCATTGACTTTTACTCATCAAGATTTGAAGAGGTGGTTTTCGTCTGGTCCCTAATGTCTGTCTGTCTGGTTGCTGCCCAGGCAGCACTTACCTGCTGTAGCCCTTCGGTGATAGACGTTACTGGAGCCATCCCACAGGTCAAGGCTGAGAGCATGTACCCATCCGAGCCAATGGAACTATTAAAATTTCCTTGCTAAAAGAGAAAAGGGGAAAAAAGACAACTATAGCAACATGGAGAAGAATGAGTTCAACCTGTCGGAGACAGTGAAGTGTGTGAGTTCCATTTGGTAGGATAAGATGGTAACAAAACATCTACCAGAGCTCGTAAGCAGACACACTATCTTGGGAGACGGGGCATTCTAACAATGTGAGTCCACAGATCCCTGCAGGTCCTGAGACCCTTTCATGGGATTTCCAAGGACAAAATAATTGTCCTTCAGCCTTTCTCATCAGAGTAACATTTACACCTGCCAGAGTAGCACTTGCTCATGCCAGCGCGTTGGCATGAATCACAGTGTTCTTGCCAAACTGGGCTAGCAGTCCTCCTCCCTGCCAGTGCCACACACCTTGCAGTGATACATAAATACACAAAGAAGGTAAAACTTTGAAAGATCTCCTAAAAATTGGGTCCGGCAGGTGGTGTGGCGGTTAAGGGCACTGGACTCCCACATGGCTGACTGTGGTTCGAGTCCTGGACCAGGCAGCTTGCTTTCTCACTTTCCCTTTCTCTCTCTCTCTCTCTGTCCTTCTCTGGTCAAATTAAAATGAATGAATGAAGTTAAATAAAATAATAATTTTTTTGAGAGTTTTTTGCTATAGGGCGCACGTGCTCACCAGAAAGAAAGACAGAGAGATAGACAGTGAGAAATCAACACCCAGAAAGGATGGCCATGCCGGAATCCCTTGTCCTCCATTCTCCTCTCGGGATCTTGGGCATGCACACACATGTGCCTGGCGTGAGTTTAAGCCACCAGGTTCAGGACTTGAACGGCGGTTGACTACATGGGAGCCCAGCAACATAGCCATTATGCTAACTTCTGGTCCCCCAATAAAATAATTAAAAAAAAAAAAAAAAAGGAAAAAAAAAACCTCCTAAAATTTAAAATCGCCAAGTTTGTTGGAGAAAAAAAGATGCCCCTAAGAAAGTCAATAGTCTTACTAATTTACAACCTTGAGGACTTTTTCTTAATGTTCTGTGATGAATGAGAAATACACTCCATGCATCTCGCCGTGTTGTGTACCAAAGGACAGTGGACGCCCTGGTGTGACTGCCAGGTCAGGGGCAGAACCTGCTGTTTTCGTCACGGAACACTGTTTCTATTACACATGGAAGAACCACTGACAAGCATCTCTGGTCAGTCAGCCTTGGGTAAGTGGCAGACTTATAGAAAATGAATGAAGGGAGCCTGTCACTACAATGAGGACAACTGGTCATGGCTGGACTTAGTGGTAAATCTGATCTTTCAAGAAAAAATGAAGGTTGTGAAAACTTCCATCCGCCATAGTGAGATTGTCAGTGTCTCACTACATACTTTTATGATGGAAACAGAAGCAAGACTGATGAATGCACTTTTCTGGATAACTCAGTGAACCCATATTTTCCGAATGACTAATACATGATGCTACAAAATCATGAATGGGTAAAAGACCTATTCAAAGTGCAAGACAGACTCATAGATTTTAATGGACAGAGAACAAAACGCTCTTTGATGCTGCTTCCAATTCCACATTGCAACTAGCCTTTAAGAAACTATCATTTGTCAAACTGGAATTTAATATTCAAAAAAAAAAATGCCCATAATTTTTTGAAAAGCTTAGTGAACTACTCCTCACTTTTACAACTGTGGATCTGTGTATAACCAGATCTTTCCTTTTTGCTCTCTTCTTTTCTTTTTTTAAAATAATTTTGCCAGAGTGTGAATGATTGCCAGAGACAGAGAGAGGGAGAGAAAGAAAGCACTCCCCAGCGGGGCGTGGTCATACCGCAATCATTTCTTCATTCTCAGTCCTGATGGGATTTTGGGCATGCACACATACACATATACACCGGGCATGCTTCTCAAGTTACCAGGGTTGGGATTTGCAGTACACCATGTGAGATCTGACTACCTTAACACAAGGCCATGGGGCCAGCCCAGATCTGCTTCACGTCATTCAACCGGAGAGCACATTCCAGGAGGGTAAATGCACAAGCAGCTATGAAAGTCCAACTGTCTGCAATTAACCCAGACCGTTAGGAGGCAGGGCAGCGTGTAAGACAACGACACTCTTCTCACTTAGGTTTTGTTTGAACTAATGATTTTTGGAAATAATGTCACATTAAAATATAATGGGTTTGGGGTCCGGAGGTGCTGTGGTGGCTAAGGTGCTGGACTCCCACATGGCTGACCACAGTTTGAGTCCTGGACCTGCCGGCTGGCTTTCTCACTTTCCTTCTCTCTCTGTCTCTGGTCAAATTAAAATAATAATAATAATAATATTAAATGAATAATTCAATTAAAAATATAATGGGTTTATTATTGTCATTTAAAAAAATGAACAAATAAATATTTTTAAATGACAAATTTCAACTTCCAATATGGCAAGTACTGATAAGTGCATGAAGGTAATTCACGAAGTTCAAGGAAGAACTGAATTCATGTCTGAGTTTATTATGGTACAGAAATGTTTGAAACCTATGTATAGTTTTTTCATAATATGCATTCTCCATGAAATTTTTAAAAGTTTATTTATTTAGATCCATGAGTGAGAGAGACAGAGATAGTCCTGACACCACAGTCCACCCTCAGCCTTAGCCCACCACAAGGCATGGGCACATGCGTGCCGACACTCAGGGAGGTCTCCAGTCATGTACTCGGAACCTTTCCACGTGGGTCTGCCTTTTACCACTGGACCACTGTGAGGCGCCTCTGTGACCTTTTAGAAGACCTTTCATAACCCATGTAAACAAACGTTTTCTGGGGTTAACAATTTATAAGAGTATAAAGTGGCTAAGAGAAGAAAAAGTTTGAAAACCATCAGATTAAAGGAATCCCACCCAAATACAAAGAGCTCTTTGGTATCATTTAAAAACACCAAGTGTATTAGCTTCGACTTGGCATAAGCAGGAAAAACACAGTCCCTCTGTAGCCACTTGTGACATCTTCCTATGCCTTTCAATGTGGCCAGGGCAAAGGTCTCTCCTTCTGTGTATTTTAATAAAGATCAACAGTTCTTTTATCCTTTTCAGTTCAGTCTGATGCAACAGTACTCATGTTACTTCAAAGCTGTCCTACAGAGTACGGACGCCTCTCATTCCAAACTCAATGTGCACTTACGGCTGACAGACATCCTTCATAAATGTATGTTTTTCTGCATGGTGAATGGACATGTTGTCAGAAAGTACATGGCACCTGGGGCCAGGTGATGGTGTAGCAGTAATGCAACTGGACCCACAAGGGAAGGGTCCTGAGACTGCATCCCAGGAACCCCTGGAGCATGCTGGGTACTTGCACGCTCATGATCCAGGCTGGCTGAGATAGGGGTAGGTCACAGGGTAAAGACCCTATGGGAGATGCTCTATTCTCTCTCTCTGACGGAAGGAATAAATATATAAACTTAAAAACAAAAAAGCATGTGGCTCGAATGCTGTTCTTCTGCAAAATAACACATGGTTTCTAAACATAGAACTTTTTATTCCAAGTAAACACAGTAGCCCAGACACCATGTCAGCTGGGATGACAGGATGAGGGGCCTGATGGGCTGGATGCATTTTCTTATTAATTAACTTTTGGGAAAATGATATTAGGAAGCAAGAAGGAGAGAGAAAATTCCTTCATCAATAAGTCTGCCAATAAAGCACTAAAATAATCTAACCCTGAAAATACTGTGGGAAAGACGAAGAAATAGGCTGCATAGAGTATATTGTTTACAAATCATAAATAAGTCTGTTTTTTTTTTTTTTTAAGAGTCAGAATTCCCAGACATCCTTACTGGTAAACTTGTATCGAAGGCGAAGGTATATAATTACTTTCCAGGAGCCTGCTAATTGATATGGAATGAATACGGAATCAATAATTCTAAGGGAAGCAATGTAGAGTCCAATATTAGATAAGATGTATTTCAGTGATTAAAAAATTCTAGTAATTTATGTTTTGCAATAAGCCCTTTGATAAATATCTTTCCAAAAATACAATAATACAATGACCAACAGTATAGAAAGCAAAATTAGGATTTTACTCACTATGGCATCTTTAACAATTTGTTTGGCCACCTGCTCTGGTTTGCACACAGATGTAGTCTCTGAAATAAGCCGAGTCTCTAAAGGCTGAAAGTGAAAAAAAAAAAAAAGTATAAATCAATACCATTATTGCCCATTATGTTAACAACTAAATAATTCTTGTAGCCTTCCAATTTTCAAATAAAATCCAATCTTCTACCTTTGAGCAGATTCCAATTTTTGAATAAGATCCCACTGGATTTTGTATCATTTTTTACCTGGTTACTATGTAAAATTCAGCCTGGCAGCTGAAGCAAGACAGAGGCCCTCTCTATTCTCTGGAGGACGGGTGTGGTCTCAGCTCCAGGGAGGACCATCAGAGCTAGAAGGAGAACACACCACCAGGCACAAGTTCAGAAAGACCCACCACCACCACCCCCGGGCTCTTGAGTGCTGGCCAGACACCTGAGGATGGTGTTTAAACAGGGGTAGGCCCTGCATCCTAAGCAAGTTTGACCCCACAACCAGTAGCTCCCTCTGACCAACTATCAGGCCAGCAGAGGACTGATGTCCAGAGACAGCCCCGACCCAGGGCCTGCCCAACAACTGCAGCTGTTTCTTACAAGACCTGCAGAGGAGGTCTTGGCAGAGGAGCCAGTCAGCAAGCCGAAGGATAAGTCGAAAGATAAGGCGCCACATAGGGGACAGGGCTGAGCATCCCTAGTTTGGCTGTGTGACAGTTACCAGGCTGATGTTCCAGGCACCAAATCCTGGACTTTTGTTCTTCAAAGGGTGGTTAAAGACCCACTTCAACTCTCATCTAGTTCAAAATGCCTTTCCTGAATTCCTAACTGGTGGTAATCACTCTTCTTCGAATGTTTCTGCCTTGATCACAGCTGTGTGTGTTCATGGATTTCACCTCCTAAATTTCTTGTGGACAAGGTCTTCTTTATTTTTCATTTATCTTTGACTCTTCTTTGTGGACCCTCTGCACATGCGTGCTAAAAAAATTCTTTAAAAGAGAGTTTCAGGTCAAAGTGTCAAACTAAAGCCTTAAACTGCAGGAGACTAAACACCTTATTTACCATGGATGCCCTAAAAATTAAATAAAATAAAAACCAGAATATACTTTTTTTTTTAAGAGAGGTTTTCGCTATAGGGCACGGGCGCTCACCAGACAGATAGAGAGAGACATAGAGACAGAAAGCGAGAAATCACCCTCCAGGGGGGGTGGCCACGCCGCAATCCCTTCTCCTCCATTCTCCTCTCGGGATCTTGGGCACGCACGCACCCACG